ACAGGAATGTGAGTATGTGAATATAATGAGCAGAATCTAATCGGTCAAGGAGAACAAATGTGTTCACTCAAAATGTCTTGGTGGTTTAAGTTCTAAATGTTTGAGTGTACACAGCTTGAAGTGTAGCCCACAGTAAAAGACAAGCAATACAGAAAATAAAAAGACACAGCAAACACTATTTGTGCATACTTTTTATACTTCAGGTAGCTATAAACAGGAGAGGACACACTTAGACGCTACACCAAGATAACTGAGGAAAAAACAAAACAAAGGGAACTGAAGCAATGGGACAGAGCTGTGGTGAATATGAGCAGGACTAGTTGGGTCAGCAGACAAAGACGGGTGCCTAATGATAATGCACTGACCTACTTCTAACAACGCAAGACAAAAAAGAAATGGAACAATTACTAAATACAAAAGCTGCAGACATGGGATGGGAAAAACTAATAGAGAAGTAAAAACAGGTGGCAATTTAAAAAGAGCTAGTCTCTAGAGCTGATAAAGCCCTGAGGGCAGGCGGTGGTCCTGTAGATCCTGTTTAATGGCGAATGGTTTAAATAGCACCAATTCAGTTCAGGACCCACACTGGTGGATAACACTGCGGTATACTTTTTCAGTTGATTCATCTTATTTTAGTAACATGCACATCCCCAGTCTCAACAACAAATTTAAATCGTCATCGTCGTCTTCCTCCGCTTATCCGGGTCCGGGTCGCGGGGGCAGCATCCCAACTAGGGAGCTCCAGACCGTCCTCTCCCCGGCCACCTCCACCAGCTCCTCCGGTAGGACCCCAAGGCGTTCCCGGACCAGATTGGGGATGTAACCTCTCCAACGTGTCCTGGGTCGACCCGCGGGCCTCCTGCTGGCAGGACATGCCCGAAACACCTCCCCAGGGAGGCAACTTCACACTCGCGCCCTGCGCTCCTCTGGCAGGCGTCTCCTGGTCATCCCTAAAGTCAGGACCCACACTCACGGCGAGGCGTCCTTCCAGTATTACAACCCTCGCCTCTGGAACGAGCTGCCAGAGGACCTCAGGGCCGCAGAGAACGTTTTTAAGACCAGGCTCAAGACCCACCTATTAAGGCTAGCTTTTATCTAAATATTTACTATAGTTTTATTTCTCATTTTACATGATTATATTTAATTACTGGCTTTGCATATTTTATAGGGCTGCACGATATTAGGTAAACCTGCGATATTTGATAACAGTGCTTAATACTGCGATATCGATATTACTTGCGATAAATGAACAAATACTAAAGTATGCAGTGTTGATGTCGTCTGGCGTGTGACGTCTGCTCTGGGTTCAAAGCAAACAAAAACTAATGCATGAATTCCATTACAACATAACATTTTTATTGCAAAAATATGCAGCTGCACCTGCTACTGTATTAGCAGCAAAACAACAAACTGCGTGCATGCAGTTCCTCAGTGACTTTAAAACATCACCACCACCATAAAACTTTTTCTGATGCTCCAAATACAGAAAAACATCCCTTACCAGGGTTTTTTGAATAAATAAAAAATATCAGAAAATAAGTTTAAATGTTAAATAATAGTTAACATCACTTCAATGCAACGGCAAATTCTCTCATTGCTACTGAACATTTTCTCCACTTATGTGGTTATGATATAAGGCTGTTGCTGTAATTGGGAAGTGAACTGTGCTGGGCCAAACTAGGAGAATATTAAGATTTTTTGAGGAAAAGAGAAAAACATTTGTCTACCTTTCAGAAGAGGAACTGGCAAAAAACTACATGGAAAATATGTGAAAACGTTTGTTTTTAACCCCAAATTGAACAAGTTAACCTAGATCTTAAAAAGCAGCTCAGATGATGAAACTGCAACTATGATTCTGATAACAAGCTAACAAATTGAACTAGCTCCTCTTAAGACAACCGGCTAGCAGAGCTTCTGACTGACAGTTTATGTGCAGCAGCAAATCAACTATCCTGATTAACAAGGTTATAAAAGCTCATAAATGAAAAATCACTTTGATGTGTGGGGGAACTTTTCCAGGCCCTCTTTAGCAGGGTGGGACTGGGAGGAGAGTGCTGTAGCCTTTTAGCTGGAAGCTAACCGGAGCCTGGGGCTAACGTCACCACCCGGTGGAACACTAGCGACATGGAGGTAGGTGGGTTGGTTCACCGGCACGTGTCGGAGACAGCCCGGTTATTATCAGCTGCTTAACGACACCGAGCGGACTCACGTTCACGTTTGAAAACAGCGCTGATTCCAGAAACCTCAGCACAAAGTGCGTTCGTTAATCTGAGCCAGCATGACGAACAAGGGAAGCAAGCGGCAGCAGAGATAGTGGAATTTTGGGGTAAGGGTCTACGTAGGGGGCGGGCATATTACGTGAATGGACCCATCTGAGTGGCCGCATATCAGAAGGTCTACATTTGATTGGTCAAATAATACTTCCGCATAATAAACAGAGCTGGTTTACAAAAAGTTGATGTATGACACGGATGGAAATGTTTGAACCAAACATTTATCGCCGTTTTGACGTGCTTTGCGATGGGCCTATCGCAATGACGATAATTTTTCGATATATTGTGCAGCCCTAATATTTTATATGATTATATTTCAGCACAGTTTCATTATTAATAATATTATAATTTTACTGCATATGAATTTATTTATTACTTATTTTCTTACTTTTGTCATTTATATTAGCTCTTTTATTTTCACATCTTTACTCATTTTAATCCAGTGTTTTCTCTGTAGGGGCGCTCTGCCCTGGGGGCGGTGGTCGACTGTTGCTTCCTGGGTGCTCTATAGGTAGTGTTTAAGTGGAGGTGGGAGTCTATGCTCCCCCTCCTCTGAGCACCCTGACTTAGTTTCTGTTGAAGACCAGATGCTGCCAGGGCAGACGGCTCCTCTGATGGCGTTTCCTTGCCTTACCTTACTTGGCTCATCTGGACACAGCCGAATATAAATTTTTACTGGTGTGTGTGTGTGTGTGTGTGTTTGTGTGTGTGTGCATATGTCTGTTAATGTTTTCAAACTTATGAGAATTTGGGGTCATTTTAATTCTGTAAAGCACTTTGAGTAGCACTTTGTTTGAAAAGCGCTTTATGAATAAAATCTGATTGATTGATGAAGTGTAAACCAAGCTTTAGAAATCAGCCTGAACTTGCTCTGATGTGGGAGGAAATCTTAGCAAACTGTGAAAGTATTGATATTGGTTTCTAATTTGTAAAGTTGAACTTAGCCCCCTCTTTGAGTAATGACACCACTTTTGCAATTTTCATTGCGTTGGGGAATATTGCAGTGCTAAGAGAACCATTAAAGATAAAACTTACAGACTTGACTTTACTGGTCACTATACCATCATCTATGACACGTTTTACCACTACCATATCTAAATCATTGCAATCTGTGGACTTTTGGGGTTTAGAATCTATAACTACTTGAAAATGTCTTCCTCATTTCTTTCTTTTAACCCCCTGGACTCAATCCAGGCGCCGGTGTGTGATGGCGCCTGGTCGCATTACTCCCGTTATTATGCAATTAGGAAACCACTTAGCATCATGATTACAGCTTGTTTTGACAAACGGGGCTAAAAACTGAATAAAAGTTGTGATTTTACATGTTTATTAAAGTAAAAGTAAGACATTTAAGGTAAATAATTCATGCCAAGATAAAGGTGCTTTTGCGAATTCGATCTGTGGCAGATGCAGAGCTAAATCCTTCCAACGGATCTCTCAGTCAGCTCTCTCGCTGATTTTCGGACTCAGAAGCCAGGAAGACAAACAAGACCAAGCTCATCCTATAGGCTGAGATACAAACCAGTTTACCCAATAACAAAATCACTCACAATTAGTTTACCCAATCACAAAATCATGCGTAAATCGTTGCTAGGTGCAGGCAAAGAAAGCTACCTGCTTCAGGGAGTGTGCTCGATGCTGCCGTCAGGTGGACAAGGTGAGACAGGACACCCACTGGATTTGTAAAGCCTCTGATGTTCCCCTGTGTGTTTCTTTGAGGCTTGGCACATTTAAACTACGGTGTTTGGTCATGATACCTTCTTTGTAAATAAATGCATATAATTTTTGGGCTTGCTAAAACAGATCCTGTCTTCTGCTGGACAAGTAGCAGAGGTAGACAGAAAGTGTGGAACTCCATTTTCAACATAACAGCAATTTTACATGAAAAACGCCCGAGACATGCCTTGCATTTGTATGCACAAAACTTGCATTTAACAGTCAATGTCTGGTGTGGCCATCATTTGTCGCACGCAGGGCAACACATCTCCATCACACAGAGTTGAACAGGTTGTTGAAGGTGGCCAGTGGAATGGTGGTCCACTCGTCTTCAATAGCTATGAGAAGTTGCCTGCCCATACCTGTACCCCACCGCTAACATGGGCCACTCGTTCCACAACGTTAACATCAGCAAAAAGCTCACCCACACACGCAGTCTGCGTGACCCGACCCCGGATAAGCGTCGGAAAATGGATGGATGGGAATTCCATTGGTTGTTAGTTATAATCATCAAAATTAACAAACTAAGCATTTGAAATATATCAGACTGTGTGTAATGAATGAATCGAATACAAAAGTTTAACTTTTTGAATGGAATTACTCTAATAACTCAACTAAAGTAACAATATTCTACTTTTATGACCAGCACCTATAATAGTCATCTAGAAAGTAAAACATTTCTTTCAGACTCGTCTCTTTCTCACCATAACTTCTTTTAGCATCTTGATGTTGGCTTTAGACCTTTGATAGACATCCGACCCGATCCAACAGGTGAAGAAATGGAAACATTTTATATATCATCCAACCTTAGTGCAGAAAGTCATGTAGATCTCAACATTGTGTGGTGTGGGGCTATAAGAGAGAGACCTGTTGGCAGAGCCCGATGACTCTGACCACTGAAAAAGGCTGGTCATCTAGTATGTTGAATTCTATTCTTTTTGGAGTTACTTACTAAGCCTAATAAGAGTTGTGCCAAGATAAAAACTGGTTGATGAGATCATCATCACATACCACTTTGTCCTCATTCTGGTTATCAGCAGCCAGCAAGCTCCATTCAATATCCAGTGGTCCGGAATCTGCTTGAGCCAAGTTAAACTGACAATCCAGTTTCACAGTCTGACCGCTGGCCACCTCTATGGGCGTTGTTCCTGTAGACGTGATCTCCAACCCCAAGGCCAAGTCTAGACAGAGAGGTGCAAAGAGTTATTAGTTCATTTAATAGTCAGGGACACTACATGCTAGAGTGCACAGTTAATCCTAAAATAATCGTGATCTCTACATTTATTTGTGTGCAATCTCATTTCCAAATGACAACGATTTTAAGCAGCTGGCTAGATAGAAAAGGGCTCTGTTCTCTGCTGTGGTCCTGCCATGGTCAACAGCAATCATGTTGTCATATTAAATGTTCTATTTTCTTAATAACTGTGGTTTACATTTTACTAAAAATACATACAGGTGCTGGCCAGTAAATTAGAATATCATCAAAAGGTTGAAAATATTTCAGTAATTCCATTCAAAACGTGAAACTTGTACATTATATTCATGCAATGCACACAGACCAATGTATTTCCGATGTTTATTACATTTAAATTTGATATTTATAGGTGACAACCAATGAAAACATCAAATCTGGTATCTCAGAAAATTAGAATATTCTAAAGGCCAATGAAAAAATGTTTGTTTCTCTAATGTTGGCCAACTGAAAAGAATGAACATGAAAAGAATGTGCATGTATAGCACTCAATACTTAGTCGGGGCTCCTTTTGCCTCAATAACTGCAGTAATGCGGCGTGGCATGGACTCGATCAGTCTGTGGCACTGCTCAGGTGTTATGAGAGCCCAGGCTGCTCTGATAGTCGTCTTCAGCTCCTCTGCATTGTTGGGTCTAGCGTATTGCATCCTCCGCTTCACAATACCCCATAGATTTTCTATGGGGTTAAGGTCAGGCGAGTTTGCTGGCCAATCAAGGACAGGGATACCATGGTCCTTGAACCAGGTGCTGGTGGTTTTGGCACTGTGTGCAGGTGCCAAGTCCTGTTGAAAGGTGAAGTCTGCATCCCCATAAAGTTGGTCAGCAGCAGGAAGCATGAAGTGCTCTAAAACTTCCTGGTAGACGGCTGCATTGACCCTGGACCTCAGGAAACAGAGTGGGCCAACACCGGCAGATGACATGGCACCCCACACCATCACTGACGGTGGAAACTTTACACTGGACCTCATGCAATGTGGATTCTGTGCTTCTCCGCTCTTCCTCCAGACTCTGGGTCCTTGATTTCCAAAGGAAATGCAGAACTTGCTTTCATCAGAAAACATAACTTTGGACCACTCAGCATCAGTCCAGTCCTTTTTGTCCTTGGCCCAGGCGAGACGCTTCTTGCGCTGTTTCTTGTTCAAGAGTGGCTTGACACACGGAATGCGACACCTGAATCCCATGTCTTTCATGAGTCTCCTCGTGGTGGTTCTTGAAGCGCTGACTCCAGCTGCAGTCCACTCTTTGTGGATCTCCCCCACATTTTTGAATGGGTTTGTCGTCACAATTCTCTGCAGGGTGCGGTTATCCCTAGAGCTTGTACACTTTTTTCTACCACATTTTTTCCGTCCCTTCGCCTGTCTGTTAATGTGCTTGGACACAGAGCTCTGCGAACAGCCAGCTTCTTTAGCAATCACCTTTTGTGTCTTGCCCTCCTTGTGCAAGGTGTCAATGATTGTCTTTTGGACAGCTGTTAAGTCAGAAGTCTTCCCCATGATTGTGGTGCCTTCAAAACAAGACTGAGGGACCTTTTAAAGGCCTTTGCAGGTGTTTTGAGTAAATCAGCTGATTAGAGTGGCAGCAGGTGTCTTCTATATTCAGCCTTTTCAGAATATTCTAATTTTTTGAGATACCAAATTTGGAGTTTTCATTAGTTGTCACTTATGAATATCAAATTTAAATGTAATGAACATTGGAAATACATTGGTCTGTGTGCATTGCATGAATATAATGTACATGTTTCACGTTTTGAATGGAATTACTGAAATATTTTCAACCTTTTGATGATATTCTAATTTACTGGCCAGCACCTGTATTACCAACCTCTCTCATCACCTTACAAGCAGAGAGAATATTGTTCAAATTTGTTATCATTTAAATTATTCAATAGATGTGTACTAAGAGACAACGAGAGACATTTGTTGTTTTCATGTTCAGTGGCAGCTGTCACGAAGTTGATGTGCAAGTAGTAAGTGCAATAAATACTTAAAGAATCGTGATTCTCACTTTAACCAGAATTGTGCAGCTCTACTACATGCATAACAGCAAAGAAAGCAACATTTGGGAGCAGTCAAACCAGCACTGTTACTGGGTGTCAAAACCTAACACATCTGCCGTGCTTCACATCTGACAGATATCCATTTGAAATATGCAAACTATGTGCACAGAGACAAACAGTCTACAGGATGCGTCTGCAGAGCGGTTTTCTTTGTTACAGCCAAGAGTTTTTTCCAGTGTAACGGTTTCTTCTTGTCCGTCCAGGGTAACTGGAGTTTTTCTGTTTGTTGCCTCAAATCACCGCACATATACAATCAGGCCACAGACACAGGACTTCTCTTCAAAGCTTTTTACTGGCAGGATCTGATATAAAAACAAGCACATAATAGTTTATCAGTGTGTGTGCGCTGCAACTGCATACAACGGTCTCCACCAGCTTTCATTACTGCTTTTCTTTTTATTTTCTTACATGTGATGGTGTAGTGATATTTAAAAACCACAGCAATATATTAATTTACCAACTTGCATTTCAGAGCAATACATATTTTCTTTTCTGATAAAACATAAAATAGTTAATAGTAATAACTATAAATAATAGTATAAGTAATAACTAAAAAATCAATTTCCCTCTGGGATTAATAAAGTATTTTTGAATTGAATTGAATTTGAATTGAATTGAATAACAATGACATAACAGCGTAGCCGCCAACAGTTGAAACAGTTAACTGCCTGCCATCAGTAGGTATAGTTGTCAACTACCACAGTAAAACATTTACAAATCATATTTTTACCAGTGTGTCCCTTACATAGGCGTATTTCAATATCAGCCCCAACACACTGTATCTGATCATATCAGACTGCATTAAAAATCTCCAATGTAAGCAGTCCGTTAAGATTCACATTTTTGCGACCAATGGTTAAAAAGTTTTGTAATTTTTTTCAAACTTTGTGTTATCGGCTCTTGTTCTCCGATTGAATAAAATCACTTGATCAAGCCTTTCATACATTCCACACAATTTATGTTCTGAAGCCGTCTTGATTCCATTAGGTTGTAGCGATCATAACGTAATTGCGGGAACGAGGAAAACAAAGATGCCTAAAAAAGGGCAACTATTTGTGTGCAGACGGATGTTTAAATACCTTAACGAGGATGACTTTATAGAAGATGTGAGGAAATTAAGTTGGACATAAGTTTTAAGTGAAGATGATCCATGTCAAGCAGCATCAGTTTTCAATGAATTATTAACAAAGGTGTTAGACTGACATGTTACTATGAGGAGAAGGGTATCTGCTCCATGGTTGGATGAACAATTAAAGGAATATAGGAGGCATAGGGATAAACGTAAATAGCAAATTACTGAAATCAGTTTTTAACTAATAAAATTAAGATGTTGCGAGATTCTTTGGAAAATAGTCAAAACAAAAACATCTATCAATTCATGAAACACTGCAGGGACCACAGTGGATGGTAAGCTTCTCCTCAAGTCTGGAACACCAACACTTCCCACAAGGAGATAGAGGCAGCAGCTATTTCAGGCTCATCAGGCAACAGCACTGACTAAAGCAGCTCGGTTAGGTGACAGATGAATGACGCTGCGTTGGGACTTACTTCTTCATGGTTTACACATCCTTAATCCAGTTCCACTACGTGTTTGTTGTGCTGCACTGCATGCTTCAGTGACAACTCTAGGGCTTAAAATTTTATATTTAAATTCATGTCAGTCAAAAACTAAACTGCATGACAGCCTGTGATAGTGCTGGGCCTGTCGTCGTTAGTAACTCTTTATGTTAAAATGATTTAAAAGACATTTTAAACAAACAATACTTTTAAAAGTAGAACTGGAAACTAAATTCATATTAATCTTACTTATCAGACCTGGAACAGAAAATCTCAGATATAAATGTATTAGTGAGTCAAATCAGAGATGAGGTCCTGCCCCAAGTGGAGGAGTTTAAGTATCTCGGGGTCTTGTCCACAAGTGAGGGTAATCTGGAGCGTGAGATCGATAGGCAGATTGGTGCTGCATCTGCAGTGATACGGGCGTTGTACCGGTCTGTCATGGTGAAGAGAGAGCTGAGTCAGAAGGCGAAGCTCTCGATTTACCGGTCGATCTACGTTCCTACCCTCACCTATGGTCATGAGCTTTGGGTAGTGACTAGGGCTGCAACTAACGATTATTTTCATAATTGATTAATCTGTCGATTATTTTTTCGATTAATCGATTAATCGGTTTGTTATTGTTTAGCTATTTAACCTATACAAGTGATGGATGCATTTCAGTTAAGAAAAAAAAACATAAGAGAATTGTGCAGTTGACTGCAATCTATTTTATTGCACATGAACACAGTCAACAGTATAAAATGAGCTAAACAGTGCAAAATATCAGTCCAGAATAATTTTTTTGCATTAGCTGGAAGCCTGCTCCTTCCACCATGGATAGTGGCCTCATGTCTTTTACCAGCATGTTTAGAATAGAGTTTGTAAGTGGTATGAATTGCTGGGGGGTGTCTTGTTCCCCATGTAGTTGTCCATCGTTGCTTGTTTTTTTTCTGCATAAGAAACACAAATAGACTGAAATAAGTACACATATAAAATAAAGCAGCACACACACTACAACACTAAATCAATATATTATTTGAATTAATTAACAATATACAGTGATCATTTATTTTGAGGGTTACGTTCTACAAAATAGCCCGCAACAGGAGATATTCAGAAAAAAAGTCTAATTTTTTTTACTATTAAAAAGCTCTAAGTAAGAAGCTCATGAGGTTTTTACTTTGAGTCGGGAGTGTTTAAATTAGCTAGAAAAATGTGAAAAATGTTTATTTTGTGTAATACTGTTTAAGAAACATGATAAAAATGTGTTGTGAGGCGTTTTACAGCGTTAGATAGTAAAACAGCCTTTTAATAGTAAAAAAATGACTTTCTGA